AGGACCAACAACACCGCTGCCCACTGAACATGTGCCCTACACAGATCCCACACCTGACCAAACACTGGTCATCCAGTACAGGACCAACAACACCGCTGCCCACTCAACAAAAATGTCCGCCAAGCATAAAATATATTCTGAAAAAATTTTATTTCCAGAAAAAAGAAAAATATATATTCAGAAAAAAGCAGTTTACCGGACTAATTAGGAATAGGAACTAGGCAGTGACGTCACGCTCGTTCACACGGCAGAAAATTCAGTTACGATGTGTTCATCATGAACAGTGTGTTCGTTGAACAGTGGGACAGTTGACAATACTGAATTCAATTCAATTAGGGTCCCAGTTGAATACTTACTTCATCTGGGGGCCCCTAAATCCCTGGGACCCCCACACAATCGTCCTGGGACCCCACACCATCATACTGGGACCCCACACCATCATACTGGGACCCCACACCATCATACTGGGACCCCACACCATCATACTGGGACCCCACACCATCATACTGGGACCCCACACCATCATACTGGGACCCCACACCATCATACTGGGACCCCACACCATCATACTGGGACCCCACACCATCATACTGGGACCCCACACCATCATACTGGGACCACATCACAGTGGGACCCCAACACACGTGAACCCTGCTGAGACCCCAAGACACATTGGAACCCGCACTTTGACCCTAAAACATACTGGAGCCCCATTAGGGCTCCAAGACATACTTGGACCCCTACTCGGACCCCAAGAAAAGCTAGGACCCCAAGGTTCACGTGGACCCCCTAAGACTTCGTGATAATCATACTTAACCAATACACCCTCAGCCATGATTATAGAACTGTATACATAGATCATAAATAATGCCGAGCATACAATCAAACACAGAACCAAAGATAGTGTCAGTCATACACATGGGGTCAGATACACATTGCCAGGTATACACAGCCAGACACCGAGCCACATATATAGGCTGAGGATAAGACACATTCGCAGTTGCAATATTGAGAGGTTTGTTGATGGTGGTGGTGGTGGTGGGGGTGGTGGGGGTGGGGTGGTGGGGTGGTGGTGGTGGGGGTGGTGGTGGTGGGGTGGTGGTGGGGGTGGTGGTGGTGGGGGTGGTGGGGGTGGGGTGGTGGGGTGGTGGTGGGGGTGGTGGTGGGGGTGGTGGTGGGGGTGGTGGTGGTGGTGGTGGTGGTGGGGGTGGTGGTGGTGGGGTGGTGGTGGGGGTGGTGGTGGTGGGGGTGGTGGTGGTGGGGGTGGTGGTGGTGGGGGTGGTGGGGGTGGTGGTGGTGGGGTGGTGGTGGGGGTGGTGGGAGTAGTAGAGAACAGTGTGTACAGGAGTTTAACATTTATTAACTGGAGTTAGTAGTTCTGATATAGTATATTTATATGTGTTATTCTAACACCAAATCCGTATTGCATTGCAGGCGCGGTGTGCTCGGAGCTGGGGGTGCGGATTGCAAGAGGAGGAGGCGTATTTACCCAGATATACGCCACCCTTGGGGAGCTGCCTGCTGTCTTGGTCGCTTCTACCTTACTCCTTGACCTTATTCTTCTCCCTGCCATAGGTAAGTCATCATTGAGGTAACAATGGTAGGTGAGCAATGGGTATGCTAGTATATCCGCTAGCTCTCGTAGTATATCTGCTAGTTCTATTAGTATATCTGCTAGTTCTAGCAGTATATCTGCTGGTTCTAGTACTATATCTGCTACTTCTGGTAGTATATCTGCTAGTTCTGGTAGTATATCTGCTAGCTCTGGTAGTATATCTGCTACCTCTGGTAGTATATCTGCTAGTTCTAGTAGTATCTCTGCTAGTTCTGGTAGTATATCTGCTAGTTCTGGTAGTATATCTGCTAGTTCTAGTAGTATATCTGCTTGTTCTGGTAGTATATCTGCTAGCTCTGGTAGTATATCTGCCAGCTCTGGAAGTATATCTGCTAGCTCTGGTAGTATATCTCCTTCTTCTGGTAGTATATCTGCTAGCTCTGGTAGTATATCTGCTAGCTCTGGTTGTATATCTGCTAGTTCTAGTAGTATATCTGCTGGCTCTGGTAGTATATCTACTAGTTCTAGTAGTATATCTGCTAGTTATGGTAGTATATCTGCTAGTTCTAGTAGTATATCTGCTACCTCTGGTAGTATATCTGCTAGTTCTAGTAGTATATCTGCTAGTTCTGGTAGTATATCTGCTAGTTCTGGTAGTATATCTGCTAGTTCTGGTAGTATATCTGCTAGCTCTGATAGTATATCTCCTTCTTCTGGTAGTATATCTGCTAGCTCTGGTAGTATATCTGCTAATTCTAATAGTATATCTGCTATTTCTAGTAGTATATCTGCTAGCTCTGGTAGTATATCTGCTAGCTCTGGTAGTATATCTGCTAGTTCTAGTAGTATATCTGCTAGTTCTATTAGTATATCTGCTGGCTCTGGTAGTATATCTACTAGTTCTAGTAGTATATCTGCTAGTTCTGGTAGTATATCTGCTAGTTCTAGTAGTATATCTGATAGTTCTGGTAGTATATCTGCTAGTTCTAGTAGTATATCTGCTAGTTCTAGTAGTATATCTGATAGCTCTAGTAGTATATCTGCTAGCTCTGGTAGTATATCTGCTAGTTCTAGCAGTATATCTGCTAGCTCTGGTAGTATATCTGCTAGTTCTAGTAGTATATCTGCTAGTTCTAGTAGTATATCTGCTCGCTCTGGTAGTATATCTGCTAGTTCTAGTAGTATATCTGCTAGTTCTAGTAGTATATCTGCTTGTTCTGGTAGTATATCTGCTTGTTCTGGTATAATATCTGCTAGTTCTAGTAGTATATCTGCTAGTTCTAGTAGTTAATCTGGTAGCTCTGGTAGTATATCTGCTAGTTCTAGCAGTATATCTGCTAGCTCTGGTAGTATATCTGCTAGTTCTAGTAGTACATCTGCTAGTTCTAGTAGTATATCTGCTAGCTCTGGAAGTATATCAGCTAGTTCTAGTAGTATATCTGCTTATTCTGGTAGTATATCTGCTTATTCTAGTAGAATATCTGCTAGTTCTAGTAGTATATCTGCTTGTTCTGGTAGTATATCTGCAAGCGCTGCTAGTATATCTGTTCTGGTAGTATATCTGCTAGCTCTGGTAGTATATATGCTAGCTCTGGTAGTATATCTGCAAGCTCTGGTAGTATATCTCCTTGTTCTGGTAGTATATCTGCAAGCTCTGGTAGTATATCTGCTAGTTCTAGTAGTATATCAGCTAGTTCTAGTAGTATATCTACTTCTTCTGGTAGTATATCTGCTAGCTCTGGTAGTATATCTGTTTGCTCTGGTAGTATATCTGCTAGCTCTGGTAGTATATCTGCTAGTTCTAGTAGTATATCTGCTAGTTTTAGTAGTATATCTGCTAGCTCTGGTAGTATGTTAGCTAGTTCTAGTAGTATATCTGCTTGTTCTGGTAGTATATCTGCTATCTCTGGTAGTATATCTGCTTGTTCTGGTAGCATATTTGCTAGCTCTGGTAGTATATCTGCTAGCCCTGGTAGTGTATCAGCTAGTTCTAGTAGTATATTTGCTTGTTCTGGTAGTATATCTGCAAGCTCTGGTAGTATATCTGCTAGCTCCTGTAGTATATCTGCTAGTTCTAGTAGTATATCTGCAAGTTCTAGTAGTATATCTGCTAGCTCTGGTAGTATATCAGCTAGTTCTAGTAGTATATATGCTAGTTCTGGTAGTATATCTGCTTGTTCTGGTATAATATTTGCTAGTTCTAGTAGTATATCTGCTAGTTCTAGTAGTATATCTGGTAGCTCTGGTAGTATATCTGCTAGTTCTGGCAGTATATCTGCTAGCTCTGGTAGTATATCTGCTAGTTCTAGTAGTATATCTGCTAGTTCTAGTAGTATATCTGCTAGCTCTGGAAGTATATCAGCTAGTTCTAGTAGTATATCTGCTTGTTGTGGTAGTATATCTGCTTGTTCTGGTAGAATATCTGCTAGTTCTAGTAGTATATCTGTTTGTTCTGGTGGTATATCTGCTAGCTCTGGTAGTATATCTGTTCTGGTAGTATATCTGCTAGCTCTGATAGTATATCTGCTAGCTCTGGTAGTATATCAGCTAGTTCTAGTAGTATATCTGCTTGTTCTGGTAGTATATCTGCAAGCTCTGGTAGTATATCTGCTAGTTCTAGTAGTATATCTGCTAGTTCTAGTAGTATATCTGCTAGCTCTGGTAGTATACCAGCTAGTTCTAGTAGTATATCTGCTAGTTCTATTAGTATATCTGCTGGCTCTGGTAGTATATCTACTAGTTCTAGTAGTATATCTGCTAGTTCTGGTAGTATATCTGCTAGTTCTAGTAGTATATCTGATAGTTCTGGTAGTATATCTGCTAGTTCTAGTAGTATATCTGCTAGTTCTAGTAGTATATCTGATAGCTCTAGTAGTATATCTGCTAGCTCTGGTAGTATATCTGCTAGTTCTAGCAGTATATCTGCTAGCTCTGGTAGTATATCTGCTAGTTCTAGTAGTATATCTGCTAGTTCTAGTAGTATATCTGCTCGCTCTGGTAGTATATCTGCTAGTTCTAGTAGTATATCTGCTAGTTCTAGTAGTATATCTGCTTGTTCTGGTAGTATATCTGCTTGTTCTGGTATAATATCTGCTAGTTCTAGTAGTATATCTGCTAGTTCTAGTAGTTAATCTGGTAGCTCTGGTAGTATATCTGCTAGTTCTAGCAGTATATCTGCTAGCTCTGGTAGTATATCTGCTAGTTCTAGTAGTACATCTGCTAGTTCTAGTAGTATATCTGCTAGCTCTGGAAGTATATCAGCTAGTTCTAGTAGTATATCTGCTTATTCTGGTAGTATATCTGCTTATTCTAGTAGAATATCTGCTAGTTCTAGTAGTATATCTGCTTGTTCTGGTAGTATATCTGCAAGCGCTGCTAGTATATCTGTTCTGGTAGTATATCTGCTAGCTCTGGTAGTATATATGCTAGCTCTGGTAGTATATCTGCAAGCTCTGGTAGTATATCTCCTTGTTCTGGTAGTATATCTTCAAGCTCTGGTAGTATATCTGCTAGTTCTAGTAGTATATCAGCTAGTTCTAGTAGTATATCTACTTCTTCTGGTAGTATATCTGCTAGCTCTGGTAGTATATCTGTTTGCTCTGGTAGTATATCTGCTAGCTCTGGTAGTATATCTGCTAGTTCTAGTAGTATATCTGCTAGTTTTAGTAGTATATCTGCTAGCTCTGGTAGTATGTTAGCTAGTTCTAGTAGTATATCTGCTTGTTCTGGTAGTATATCTGCTATCTCTGGTAGTATATCTGCTTGTTCTGGTAGCATATTTGCTAGCTCTGGTAGTATATCTGCTAGCTCTGGTAGTGTATCAGCTAGTTCTAGTAGTATATTTGCTTGTTCTGGTAGTATATCTGCAAGCTCTGGTAGTATATCTGCTAGCTCCTGTAGTATATCTGCTAGTTCTAGTAGTATATCTGCAAGTTCTAGTAGTATATCTGCTAGCTCTGGTAGTATATCAGCTAGTTCTAGTAGTATATATGCTAGTTCTGGTAGTATATCTGCTTGTTCTGGTATAATATTTGCTAGTTCTAGTAGTATATCTGCTAGTTCTAGTAGTATATCTGGTAGCTCTGGTAGTATATCTGCTAGTTCTGGCAGTATATCTGCTAGCTCTGGTAGTATATCTGCTAGTTCTAGTAGTATATCTGCTAGTTCTAGTAGTATATCTGCTAGCTCTGGAAGTATATCAGCTAGTTCTAGTAGTATATCTGCTTGTTGTGGTAGTATATCTGCTTGTTCTGGTAGAATATCTGCTAGTTCTAGTAGTATATCTGTTTGTTCTGGTGGTATATCTGCTAGCTCTGGTAGTATATCTGTTCTGGTAGTATATCTGCTAGCTCTGATAGTATATCTGCTAGCTCTGGTAGTATATCAGCTAGTTCTAGTAGTATATCTGCTTGTTCTGGTAGTATATCTGCAAGCTCTGGTAGTATATCTGCTAGTTCTAGTAGTATATCTGCTAGTTCTAGTAGTATATCTGCTAGCTCTGGTAGTATACCAGCTAGTTCTAGTAGCATATCTGCTAGTTCTAGTAGTATATCTGCTAGCTCTGTGGGATATCTGGGGCTTGACTCAATTATTCAATTATTTACTTATTTAATTTAATAACGAAGGACCACCCACTTTTGAGAAAAGAGGGAAAACTAATATAAGTGATCATTGGAATAACACTAGAGAACCAGTGTCTATGGGTAATTATTAAAAAGGATAATCACTTGAAATAATGAATGGATTGTATGATTAGTTAATTAAAGTCAGAGCCTCAAACACCTACATTGGGGGGGTATTGCTAGAACTTCATATACGTCTAGGAACTAGTGTGGTTCGCCACCTGTTCATTGCTGAGTAAATGATATTATAAATCTAAACTGCTATAGATTCAAATATGTGAACTCAAATTGTGAATATTAATGATTATTAAATTACTGAGCAACAGTCAAAGCAAAACACATGAATTACCAATCATAATATCTGGTAATAATCTATTCAATATAATGATCCTACAAAA